TTACATATTCAAAAATGTTTTTTATAGCTTACCATGCATATGAGTTATAGAGCCATAAACGCTTTCAACGTTGTAATTCTTTCTTAGGCAGTATTTTAAAATTACAAATAAAAAAATTAGTCTAAGAAATTATGATATTTATTATTCGTTTATTTTATATAAATACTGTTTTTTTTCTTCTGTTTTTTGATAATTTTCAAATTTAAATATTGATCTTTTAACTTCTATAGGCGGTACAAGGGCAATGAGAGTGTATTAAGATTTTTTAAATTATAAAAATTTTATAATTTTGTTGATACTCGCCCCCACCACCAGAGAAATTTATTCTTCATTTCGTTCGATGGACTCGGAAATACTTCTCAGAAACTCGACAAATTATACATAATTAAGTGTCTGTCACTCCGCTCTCGGTCTTACTACGGCTATGCCTCGCTCTTTGTCCTCACAAATGATACATCGTAATAATTAAGAGTATCTTTCTCACTATTTCTTCGTCCTTCAGCTCGTATTCACAGTTTTTCCATAATTTTAAGCAATATAGATTTAAAATTCCGTCTATCCTTCCAACTAATTCTTTATTTTTCTGATTGTCTCTACAAATTACACATGATTTTAGTCCACATGAACTTAAACATTCGTATCTATCTTATCACCAATTCTCTTTCGGTTCGTCTGACAAGTCTATGTTTTTCTATCCGCAGGATCTTGAAACAAGTAAGCTCCAATATACCTGATAGAATAAAGAAATCCCTCACAAATCCGTTTGCATATGAGGTACAGATAAAATATAAAAAATCATAAAAATCATTTCGTTATATTTTATTTACTATTCTCAATCACCATTCATTGAACGATCATTTATTAAGAAGAACAGTAGTTAAGAAAAACTTTTGAGAATTTTTTATATACCTTGTAGAGGTGGTGAGGTGGTATAAGAATCGACTCTGAGGCGAATACGTTTGTCTTTGTTGGAATTTTAATTTTAATTGTTTAATGTATGAAAGTTGAGAGGAGGGAGATACAAAACAGGAAAATAATTGTCGATTGTTTGTGCTTTCGCTCTGGCACTTCATTTAATATGTATTAACAACAAATGGAAGCTTTTATCATTCAAAAGTTTTGCATAGGTTTTTTTTTATATATTGTATTTTATAATGAAGGTTAAATATTATGAGAAAAAAATATTTAGTAAAAGTTTAATTTAAAAATTTATTTATTTACTTTTTAAATGACTAAACTTATGGGGTAGAAATAAAGTAAAAATATAAGTAAGTATTTTTTTATTTATTTGAATATATATTTTATTGGGCAAAAAATACTGCTTGTGCAAAACCTCTATCGTTAATGGTTAATAGTAGTCAAGGGCTTAAAATTCATATGAAATTAAATATTAATTTTTATTTATTTATGAAGTTTCTTTTATATGCCTTAAGAACATGTCTAATGTTTTATTTTTTATTAACTAAATCATTATCTTCAGATTATGTCCTGTGAACGAATATTGCTATTAAATTGATTTTAATAAATAAGGCATGACATGAGGCGTTTATATTATTAGTGCTATTTGGTGCGTAAACATTTATGCAAGTATGTGCATATGTATGGTAAGTATGTATGTGCCGATGGTTTTTGGAAGTTCTATATTAATTAATCTTGTCGTCTGCTACTGTATATATTGATTTAAAATTCGAGTTTTTAATTGTCTTTTTTCTCATTTTCCATTTTATTGTACTATAGTGTAGTGGCACTCTTATATTTTATACTGCATATGTTAGTTTGCCTATACACAAGACCACCATGAGCGTGAGCATAAAGATCGGATCGTATTTTGAGAGAAATGAACTTAACAGGAAGTCAATGCAGGCTTATCGTCACATCAAAAAAAAAACAACAACAAACGTTTAATTCTTATTACACAGGTTACGCAATATTTGGCCGTTTACTAATTTTTCCTTCCAGATGGAAAGTTTAAAAATTACCCTCAAAGAGTCTGGAGATTGGCATTTCCTTGTCTATCAATTTATAGCTTGGCAGGCTCCTTGTTTCAGACTTCGCCAAAATCACAAAAATTGTAATAGAAAGACAGAGTTTGCAGCTGTATTCTTGTTTGACCAATCAGGCTTGGAAATGAGTGGGTCGAGAATAAATACAAGTTCTCTATAAGTGGCATTAGACCTTCCATTAGTTTCTTTTTGAGGTTATACTGTATTTTCTTAGTCAAAATTTATTACCTCAACTGAATCCATGAAAGCTTATGCAAGTTATCCAAACGTTTAGTCTGTCTCGTTTCATCAAAAAGACAAATTTACTTAAAGCCTTTTTAAAAAATAACAAGCGGCGTAGAAACGGTATTGCTGCCTTCGACTTAGTAATAGAAAGTCAGAAAAATTGCTCTGAACTGATTTTTACAATGTCGGCTCTTTCGAAACTAAGTGAAAGAATTGTATGCCTTTGCAGAACTTTCTTAATGGCAATTAAGTTTCTGCTGCGGTATGGACGGCGCAGGGCTAAACCTACCTATTTTCGGTATATAATTTATACTTATAATTTTTGGACATGATAACTTCACTGTGGTAAGTTTCGACTATATAGATCGCTTTTTCGGTTCTCTTGTTAAATAATGTTTCTACTGGGCAGCAATTTTTTGTGTGATGAAATATTATGATAAAGATAAGTGCGGAATTATATTAGACAAAGTGGTATAGGGTATTTAAAAGTCGGCTTTGACTGGCTATTAAATTTCTACTTACTCTGCTAATCTACTTGGAATTTGGTAGAAAAATTTATTAGAAGAGTTCATTAAACATGTTTGCATAGTACCCTGCGGATATCAATCGATGAAACAACTCATGATAGTCATATGTTCACTTTAAGATTCACCTTAAGGCGAATATATCTTTTTTGTTTTAGTTGTTTGTTTTTTAGGTTTATTGAGATCCTTTTTGGTTTTTTGAGTTTCATTTTTTGATTTTTTTTGTTGCTTATGGTTTTTTTATAATACAGACGATTTATACAATAATTATTAATTTATATTAATAATGTATTAATACTAATAATAATAACTCTACAATATGTGAAAACGAGGCCATAAAATCGAAATAACTTTAAGGTGGAATTAAAAATTGAATTACTAAAGAATAATAGAAGAACTATGCTTTTTCGGTTGCTCTAAAAAAGAGTTTGGCTCATCAGTATGTTTTACACACCTAACATATTACCGCATACTTTTATTTAAGTGAAATCGTTAATCCTTTCACTCAAATTTAGAGCATTTTGCGCAGACTGATTGTAATTCATCTAAATTTTTTGTTTTATATATTGTCTAGACCTTTCAAATAAATTTACAAAGTATGAAATTAAAGGCTGCCGTGCAATTTAGATCGCATACTCATCAGTATTAAAAACTTTACCGCACTTGAGATTTGACCCACGACCATTGAGTACCTCATGCGAATATAAATGTGTAGCAATCTACTAAATATTTCTTATTGGCAGCTTTAGTACGTACGCTCACTTCCACATTTCTCGTATCCGTCAATGAAAAGATTAAACCAATATTAACAAAATAGTGAACATGTGGCATTTATAGTGAACGTGTTAAGTGTTAACGTTGGCTTAATAGCTTTATTGCGGATATGCTGAATATTGACAAGCCTTATATATCGATTGTACCGTCGCGCAGCGTTATTCATAAAACATGTTATAAAAGCTAGCAGTTGAGAGAATATGGATCAAATCCCTAATGATTATCAATGTAATCCAATAAAGAGATGCTAACAGGGCTATTGGCAGACTACATCGTTTATGGAAAATATTAGTTAACGAGTCTCTTCCTGGATTCCCAGAGAATGAATAGAGTTTGGAATGTTTTCTTTAAAATTGTCTTCGTAAGCTTTGCTGAGGTCTACAGCGTGTAGACTTGAGTCTGTGCAAGAACGTCTTTCAGATTAGAGAGGAAGTTAGTTCCTTAATCCCATAAAGATGATCGACGAGTCAGTCCTAGATTTTGTAGAAATTCCACTTTCAGTAGGATCAGTAACCCGCTGATTTTTCTTTTATTATGCGACACATGGAATAGGTTTTACGATATATGCTCACTACTTTAATCCCATAAAGATAGTTGATGAGTAATTTTCGATTCATTCAGGCCTAGATTTTGTAGAAATCCATTTTTTGGATAGGGAAAACATTCATCACAGCCCATGGTTTTCTTCGTGATTATGCAAAGTATTGAAAAGGCTTTTTACGTATGCGTATTTTAAGCATTCCAAAAAAGTAAAATAAACACTTTTCTAAACTAGCGCACTGATCTGTCACATATATGTTGCGTTGAATTGTATTATATATACATGTATATGTGACGGTAGATAGCGAATAATTTAATGGGAATGACTTAGAGAGTGATCAACGCTTGCTTGTTGTTTAAGACGAAAGATAAGTCTATTTTGGAAGTAAACAAAAAATAAATTCATTCTTGTACAATATGCTTGTTTACTGGTCCTTCTATTCCCCTCACTTTCTTTTTAGTTTGTGGTTCTCCTGACACTACGGCAGCAGAAGGTGTGTATTCCAATGTGAGCAACGTTCTTTTAATTGCCTGAAGTAATTGATTGCATTCGGCAATTCCGAATTTTTGATCCTCAAGATAACTGTAAATTTTTTCTTCTTTTTTTACGTCTAGTTGAAGAGTAAGGGTTTGCATCAAACTTTAGTAAAATGTTGTCTTAAGCTTAAAACTTGTTTAACGATAAATGGGATGTGCATGAGAATGTATGTAAATGAGAAGAGAGTTGTAAAAGCTATTCATCTTTTTCAACCAGCCAGCCGGTTTTAAGCTTTTTAAGAAATTCTCAGAAAATACCCAAATGAATGAAATTTAAAAGGTATGTACGTCTTAGTTAAATAAATGAACCTTAAAATATTTTAAACTAAATACAAGTGAAAAAAAGAAAATTATACAATAAACAAAAGCAATATGCTCTCGTAACAAAATATTAAAATAATTAATAGTTAATTATAATAAGAAAGAAATACATGAACGATTAAAAAATTAATCGTTTTTTTTTTAATTGTGCTACAGCTACGTTGAAAGTAGTTTACAAAACCGTTAATATTTGGGCGAAGAAGGAAAAGTGTTATGAGCAACGAAAACTGCATTTACTGCTAATTTAATGCAATGGCGGTGGCGTACGATCTGGAGACTTTGAGATCAAAAGATTCTTGGGCACATGTTTATTTATAAAGTCCCGCTGCAGCAATTGATTATCGTGATGCTGTTGATGTTTCTGTTTGCGTTTATGACTCTGTTTGCGATGGGAACCGTGCGACTGGCGATAGTTTGTTGGTTGTTCTAAAAAACTTAAGTCACCATAATATGGATTATGTTTGAGTGAACTTATAGTTGTGGTAAGATTCCGTTTCCACACTCCAAAAGGGCAATTGGTGACAGTGCGCCAGTCAGGCACATTTACACCGAGACGTTGGCACTCGTGAGCATAGGCAGCAAAACTGTCACAATGACACATCCCGGTTGGGCATTCACAAACATCCATTTTGCATGAATCGATAAAATTAATCGGATTAAGGCTACTATCACAGTTACCGAATAATGCAGATTCGCGCAATGGTTTGCAAAAGGCATTCGATTTGCGTTGCTTGCATGTCGGCTGCGCAGCGATATTTTCTAAACGACGTGAACACGATTTGGGGCCACCGACTTTCCAAGAATTGGCGAAACGCCAAACCTCCTGATCGGAATGATTGACACCGTCTCTACTAGTAAGGTCGTCACGCACTAGTCCATTGTAATTGCCACATAGGCCACACAGACGTCTTTTATAACTGGAAGGTACAATAATTTGTAAGAAGTTATTACCGTCCCATTCAACATTCAATCCTAGCTCAGTCTTCAGCATAATGCTATTGTTAATCCGTTCCAAATTTGTCACCACTCCTTGACTATAGGGCAAAGGAGTCCGGCTGCCATTAATTTTAACGCGTAACTTTTGTCCCAAATTCACTCGCAAACCTTTTAATTTAAGAGTAACTGTTTTAGCCCACGAAGAACGATTAGTCGTTCGGCCGTCATTAGTTAGCCGTATGGAAAATGTATGATCTCGACAATCCGCTGCCAGTAAATACTTACACGAGCCTTGAAAACTATAGAATTTGCCATCGAAAGTTCTAAAATGTGGATCTCCGAAGACGGTGCAAGTACCGGCTGTTTCAATGCATTGAGGGCAACATTCTCCATTAGGTATCTTAAGCTCTTCATTTAAACTACACTTTACAGGGGGGCACATCATTTCCGAACACTGTATACCACCACCAATGCAACGACACGAACGACATGGACTTATGTTCCAAGTTTCATTTGTCTGATACGTTTTCCCAAGGTAAATGCACTCACTGCGCACTTCAGAGGTAAGACAACGCGGGCAACAACCGTCCATTTCTTGGTATTCGGGTGAGCATTCCAGTATGGGACAAGTCTTGCGCTTGCAAATACTTGTACCATTAAGGCAAGTACAATTTGTACAACGGTCCGGATTAAAACCAATTTTATCGTAAAAGATTTTATTGTTAAAAAAGCATTTTCCTGATATTTGGAAGAGAAGAATGGAACAAATGGGAAAGAATAGAAAAAATAGAAAAAAAGCTTTTATAGAATTTATTTTTTTTTACATACCTGGTAATGGCATAAATTCTCTTTGCTCCGTGCAACGTGGACAACATTCGTTGGGATGCAGTTTCTGCCTAGTAATTGGACATTGTAAGACAGGACAAGTCTTCTTCACACATTTCAATTGGCTACCGGTACACTGACAAACTAAACAACGATCATCGATTGAAGCCACAACCGTTTGACCTTCTTGCACATATTGCCCGTTAATCTTACAGCCTTTAAATAGGAGAAGAACACGATTTTAAAGTCATTATTGCAATCGTGTAATAAATATATTTTTTTGGCTTTGTAAGCATTATTTCTTTTTGGTCAAATAATTAGAAGCTAAAATACATTTAAGTTTGCTTAACATGATGAATCATGAATAATTTTTTTGTACGAACGGCTTAATAAGTTTCAAGTTTCATGTTTTGTTACTCATTATTATTTATTTCTTTTTCATTTTATTTTTTCTACTTAGGCATTATTTAAAGATTATTGACCCATTTTATCATATTTTGAAATATGTAAAGTTGCACAATGTGACACAGCATAAACTTTTTCACTGTAATGAAAAAATTTGTAATTGATACAGCAATCAGTGCCAGAGTCCATCACAAACACATATACTAAAATACACTTCTCTTTTGATTTTTTTACTAAATATGTTCTTCAAAAGATCGTGTAAACTGAAGCCTTGTAAAACGAGAGATGTTTAATTAATTAATGTCAAATGAAACAACTAAAAAAGTTATATTTGTCTGTGATAGAATCTACTTACTATACCTACCAAAATTTACCCAAAAAAGACTGAAAAAAATAGAAAAACTAAATATTTACGTTGCATAAATGTCTTCATATTTGTAGAATGCATGTGAAATTTTGAGCACGCATCTATTGTTGACTGTAAATAATGAGCAAAGAATTTGGAAAGCAGTTTATGTGAAATTATAGACATGTCCGTTAATCGACTGGGCTCGCTTTGCCAAACTTGAAGTCCATAGCCTTAATATCTGGGTTCAGAATAAAAATGAGTTCAATTATAGTTAAAATCGTGTACATCTGTTTCGACAAGATTAAAGAAAGTCGAGAATGCTTTTATTGGAATCGTGCGTAATTTGAGAAAATCGCAAACCGATTTCTATCAATACGCTTTCTTAAATCAATCTATATTGCATAAAATAAGTATCAGGGACAGATTTGAAGATGAATTTGTCACATCTGCAGTCCACGTTCTGTCATATTCACGGCAACACCGTTAACAGACCCATATGCAAGCAACTTACTTACTTTGACACGTTGGACAGCATTCGCCTGGTTTTGGTTTTGTTAACTGATTGTCATCGCATTGCGTATAACATTTCATGATTGTTTCGGTAATAACGCTGCCAACGCATTTATAAGTGCGGCAAGGATCATCTGGATCAGACCATTCAGAACCGCTTATATATGGAACACCACGATATATACAATCTGAAAAGTTTTCTTTGTTTATTTTTGGTGTTTGCAAGCACGTAAAAATTACTTTCGATTCTAAGAATTGCTATGCGCATACCTTTACATTTGCTGCAACAAGTATCTGAGGTTTTCTTCTCTAACAGGTAGCAATCATCAATGGATGGGCACATTTTTTGATCGCATTTCACGAAGCCATTCTAAAAGAAGAATAATAGAAAGAATATATTTGTTGAATACCGTATGCTTTGCATAACTTTATATATGAAAGGCTTTCCGAATTTATTATTAAAATATTTTATTATTTTCAAGTTTTCCTTTTTTTTTGTGCAAAAAACTATATGTTTCACCTTTCTAATACAAAGAAGTAAGAAGAATATAGTCGGGCAAGTCCGACCGTTGGATACCCTACAGTATTTCGTCTAGTACAGTTATTCGCTCTTTCCCTGCGAAGACATAATTTATATGAAAGCCCGCACGAGGTGATCCAAATTTAGAAAAACTTTACTTTCGAAAAATTTTATTTTTCCCTTTCCGCCATAAAAAGTTATAAATTAGACTTTCTCTTCATATAATGGCTTGCTTTTCATGATAACCTTTACAGAACTTGTGGTTTAAAAAATTGATCAATGCGGTCCAAATCCCCTCCACTTAATTTTTTTTGCTAAATTGATACTATGGACTAATTTTCATCATAAAATATTAAAAGTTAACCGTTTCCTCAACGATTTACTGTTTATAAGCAAACCTAAATGGAGTGGGATCCAAGAAATAGATCGATGTGGTCCATATTTGGTCCACCTAAATTTTAAGTCAAATTACTACCATGAACAAATTTTTATCTCAAAACATTGACAAGTAAGCCTTTTTGGCATATAAGAGTTTTTCTTCGTGGAGTATCCTTATATGCGGTGGTATCCAAAAAATAGATCTACGTGGTCCAAATTCCATATGGTTGATTCCCTTGTCAGTTTACTATTATGAAAAAATTTTCATCATGAAATATTGAAACTTACCATATGAAAATTCAGCCTTCGTATAAACGGTTATAGAGGAAGGAATTTAAAAAATTACTCAGCCGAACCAAATTTTTCATACCAATTTTAAACGTCGAAACAATATTATTTGAACGTTAAAAAGCAAGACGGACAGGCGGAAAGGCACGCTTAAATCAATTCAGAAATTGGTTCTTAATCGATCGGTGTAATAAGAGGTGAGGGTATGTGAAGTCTTCATGGTTAACATTTCCTGTACAATAAATGGTGTAGGGCATAACAACTATATAAAAATAAGATCTACACTCTTCTACAACTTTTAACGTTAAACCAATTCACTTATTAGAAAATTAAACGTCTTGGCCGGACTTGAAAAGGCTGTTGTCGCACATATGCCAAAATATCACTTTTTACTATATTTCTGCTCGCGTCCAGATAATGAAGAAACAAGTAATAAATAGCCTTTACAAAAACTTCACGTTTTTCTTGTATTTGTTGTTGTTTTTCTTCTTTTATTTTTGTTAATGAGCTTAGCATAAATTGAGTCAATAGTAATAAGAATAACAACAAAAAGTTGTTTAATCAGTGGATTTGTGCAAATTAGCCATTATTTGCATAAATCTTATTAAATATGCCTTAAAGTTGATGTCACAGAGCTTATGCGTTGTCGACGATTTCAGTTAATAGGCACATAAACGGGTAAGCATGCACATACGTAATTCTGCAATGCACGTATTTATTTATATCGAGTTTATGCTTAGATTACCTCAAAGTCATTATAAATGTTACTTAATTTGTACGTATGGTTAAATATTTCAGAGCAGTAAACCAAGTTAAGAGTGCGTCACACATGTAACAGCAGCTGGGTGGCATAAACGTATAAAGTGTTCAAATACAGGCACATGCATATGTAATGATATACATATACGCTCGTCTTATGTTTGTGCAATAAATGTGCTTCGATTTCTCGTAACCAAGTGTGAAGGATGAGGTTACATTAAATTGATCATTTTGTTTGCCACCTTAAGAAGTGCGTAATGAAAAGGTCGCAAAGTGCAAAATGTTTTGTAACCACATTTATTTGCGTCACTGCTTATGTGACCCTATGGATGCCCGTCCGCTTTGTCTGTTTAAGCACCTGCTGTGCGCCTACGCACGAGCTTACATCTGTTTTCTTGCTGTCCATCTGGTAAATTGTTGATAGTCATCTTACGTTCATCTCGTCAACTTACGTTTACATTCACTTTCGCTCTGTCGATCTGCTAATATTTACCCGACGCTCGTTTCTGGTCCGTTTGTCCCCTTCACCTGCTCCGCCGTTGTCTTTTTGTCTGTCTATTTCTGTCTGCCTATTCGTGAATTTATATGTATATGCAAATAAAATCTATAGATAATACAAAAAGCGGAATAACACTCGAATTTTTATCAAAGTCTGACGTATGTAGATAGAAGCCCACCCGCAAGTCCACCCGCTGTCCAATCGCAACAATAATATAAAACAGATTATTATATTTCATTTTGAAAGCACGTTCTAAAAATTCGGCTTAAGACACGAACACATTTTTTTTTTTAACTTTTTTTTACTTATTTTTTCTCACACTTTTACATAGGTATTTATTATGTCTGACTGCGCTTGTATGTCTCGATTTATGAATTCGTCTGATTACATTTAATTTCATACAAGTTTCAGTAAATTTATTATTAGTTTTTATTATTCATAAAAAAGTATTTAACAACAGTTGCAATTCATGACTCATCGATCATTCACTGCCTAAGAAAAGCTATCATGCTTAAAGGCTTGATTTAGGCAACTTTGCAAAACTAATTTTGTTGCTCTTACAGTGTACACATAAATTGGATCAAATCGTTTGCGCTTGTAATTTATACGACCGCAATATGGGTTAAGTTTGGGAAAGAGATTTTTAAAAAACTCACATTATATTAAAAAGTGAGAGTTGATAAGCCAACAAAAAAAAAGAATAATAATAAAAATAATGCTCTAAGATATTGATTTAATCAATCGAAAATAATTGGTGTTTAAAAATATTCCAAAACTGTGCACATTGTAAACATGCAGCGGGCTCTGACTGACCAATCGTTGATCTTTGAAAAGATGGAGACGATCGCAATTTATTATCTTGAAACGGAGCAAAATTTTATCAGAAGTTAACCATTTATTTAAGGCAACCTATAACAAGATGTTTAGTATTTAGACATCACATGTGAACTCCCGTGTGAGATATTGAACGTCGTAAAATCGGACTAATTTTGAAGAATTTCATTACCGAGGATTAATAGTAAATTATGTAGGAAAAACCGTAGATTATGGAAGTTAACACAGGTATTGCGATTTCGGTAAGAGCTCGGAAACAGTATTATGTCCCGTTAGCATCATGTTAATACGTTTGGCAAATAAAAAAGAATAGAAAGAATCAAAGTTGTAAAGTTGAGAGAACTAACGTTTACTCGCACCTAAGGCAATTGATGGTTGTAATGGGCGCATGGAGTGATAACTTTCTTTTTTTTTCATTTCATTGTAACCCTCTTGAATAGTATGTATCATTAAAACTGCTCGCAGAAACCTAATGCGATGCAATAAAGACGAAAGGAGAGCGTAAATTGTAAACATTGCTTGCCAACGCATACTTTATGCCTTTTTTTACAATTATGTTATTGGGATTTGAAATGTAATATAACGCAATCGTTTTCTTTTTTTTAAGACCGTGTGCGCATATGTATGCTTTCTAACTATGCAGATAAATGTTGTAATTGGAAGCCTGCTTAAAATAAAAATATTTACTAACATCGACAGCAGTCACAATTCAATTGAATCCTAAGCTAACTCGAACATTGTCTCATAAAAAATATTATGTTTTATGAAATAATCTATTAAAATACAATTTAATCGCCTACTGCTTGTTGTTCGGTCGACCTTTGTTTCTCTTTTTCGCAATTTTTTATGTCGTTTATATGCCAAGATTTTCTTATATTAAGGCTAATAACGAGGGCAATGGAACAGAAGATTATTACCATTTAACCGCAATATGTGTGCTTACTTTGATCATTTTTTCGTTAAAAAAAGCATTTATTAAGAAAAATTTAAATATTTTCCATTAATTTCTAAAGCTTTTTTCCGTCTTTCTGGCGACGTGGCGATCGTCTACCCATTTCCCCACTTCTCCAGCAATTTAAAACCGCGTGCTAAGGTGCTAACCCAAGTATTGCATACATCGGCACAATCTTTTTCGTACTCTTCTTCAGAACTTCCCATCCGATCAGCAACAGTGTATTGTTCAAAACGCCCGGCGACGTTGTCATGCCAGAGGATAACTTTGTGTCTTTTAGTCGCGATTGTTGGTCTTTTTTGCAACAATGCGTCGTCCGTAGAGATTTGCAATAAGAGAGCATCTCGTAATTCACTACACTTTTCTGATCCCGCCATATGCACAAAAACAATGGCTGTGCGTATTCCGCCCCAGCGTGGATGAGGATGGCTCTCCTGGACTAATTCATGACTTTTGGCTGTTGGGAATGTCATAGTAGGCCCATTTTTCATTGCTACAGAAAATTCTTTCTTTTTTGACTGGCAAGTAATGAAACCGTGATGCTGAAATGGTTAGAAATGGGATTTTCAGTCAATTCATATGGTAGCCATTTTCCCTTCTTTTGCATTTGTCCCAACGTCCCAACGTAAACGTCAAGAAAAAAGTTATTTCGTCAACTGCTAAGCTGTTGGAAAGTTTTATGAGATTTTGATGGGTTTTGTCCAATAAGTCTTCCAGTTTATTGTCTTCGAACTTTTTTAAACCTCCCGACCGCGCTTTGCCATTGATATCAGATTAGACGTTTGAAACTAGAACCGACAATTGAAGTACGATGGAGTAGCATCACGATAAATTTCTGATAACGTTTTGTGGGCCTCGGTAGGGGATTTTTTCAAATCAAACAATTAAACTGATGAATATGGAAAATGCAGTCTTGAGCGATCCATGATTAGCGTCTGTACACACTGACTAACTCAATCGTACTAAATGGAAAACTGTTATGTAAAAAAAAGGCCAAAATCATCGAATTTAACCTCTGCGTACGTTGATGCTTCATATTACTTTAATATTTCCACCAATAGACGTCGACAAACAAAACATATACAATCACATATTAAATTCGTGATTGCCTTTGTAGCAGACAGAAATTGGGCCATAATC